CAACTTGTTGGTAGCCTAAACTATCTGACTATTACTCGACCAGATATTATATTTCATTTGCAGTTCAACAAGTTAGTCAGTTTATGCAAGCACCTACCACTCTTCACTTGGCTGCTGTCCGTCGTATCATTCGATATCTACAAGGCTCGTCTACTCGTGGTCTTTTCTTCCCAGCTAATTCTTCCACACAATTAGTTGCATACAGTATGCTGATTGGGCTGGGTGTGCTGATACGCGACATTCTGTCACTAGTTGGTGCATGTTTCTTAGTAACTCTCTTGTTTCTTGGAAAAGCAAGAAACAAGATCACGTGTCTAAGTCATCTACTGTCTTAATATCGAGTTACATCCTCTGCATGCTCTGAAATAATTTGGCTTCGTGGGTTACTAGGTGAGCTTGGATTTCCACAAACTAAACCTACTCCGCTTTATGTTGATAACACTAGTGCTATTCAAATAGCTGCTAATCCGGTGTTTCATGAACGCACTAAGCATATCGAGGTGAACTTGAGCTTACTGCTGTGTTAATGGCGACGAAAATTATTGAATCTCTTTGCAATTTTTCTTTTGATTTCTTACTAAATCTACAATGTTTAACAAATGAAAAGATCAAAATCTGATCTCATAACCGCTATTTGTCGAAGTCTATATAGCAAATCAGTTGAGATAACTCAACGGAAGTAGAATCCAAAATCAACTAAAATGTCGTTGAGCCTTTAGCTTCTTACAAGATTACAATTACAAATGAACTTTAGAAACTAATGACAGAGTGCTATATCTGAGTCAGAGTTAAAAAATACTTTAAGCTAATAAGTGACGAGAAAAAATAAGTAAACTCACCAGCTGCTTAATTTTTTTGTTACAGCAGCTAGACAACAATCATTTTGTTCCAATCGTCAAATTTAGCATTTCATGAACAATAAATTTGACCTCATCATCTTGAGAATATTAATGTGTTCAGGTAACTATTTCCAACATCATCATATTCCCCACCCATGGGCCACATACACTCAGTCATGCATTGATGCATATGCATAAAGGCAGAGAGAGAGAGCAATGTAAATGACATTAAACTTTTCAATAAGCGAAATATCAGGAAATTAGTAATCAGCAGAAATTGAAAAAAAAAAAATAGATATTTAAATAAATTCTGTACACAGAAAAAGAAGAAAACAGGAAAAACCTTATGGTGAGCGGACTGATGCTCTAGAAAACCGTCTTGATAAACTTTATGCTTCTGTTTAACGTGCTTGGTGTACATCGCGGTCCACCGGGGAGCGTCCTCCATTGCTGCGCCGATTTGGCACCAATTGTTGAGCTCCAACTTATATCAATCAACTGACAGAAGTTTGGAATTTCTAGGAAAGAACCGCTCAATTTGAACATGCAATGCAACAAGTTCCAATGGTGGGAAATGAAATGACTGCCTAGTGAACAAAAGTTCATATCTTTCGACTATACACCGAATTATTATTCGGCCCATGAGTTTGTCATGCTCTTTTCCTGTTTGCTCTTAATAATAATAATAATAATAACAATAACAATAAAATAAGAAGAAGGCTGCATGAAGAGGTTGTTCAGGAAACAGCATGTTGCTCTTTTGAAAGATGCTTAGAGACATGTAAGTACTGGTGTTATGAAAGAATAGGAATTTATATTGCAAACAATGCTCGCAACTATGTTTGGGAAAGGCCAACACTATATGATGCAAAACGTGCTCATAGTCACGACTGTTTGGAAATGATATAGATAATCCTAGCATTGGTTATTGTTAAATAGATAATATAAAATCAATAGGAATGAAATACAAAAGTCGAGATCATTACAAAAACTGTATTAGACAGGTCGGCCAGATAGTAAGACCTTCTTAATCTATTCACTTCAGGAAAAAAGGAACCAGGATATCCAATGAGTTAGGTAATGCTTTTGGAGTAAGGACCTCTTACCTGCACGTCTAGGCTCATTTTCAATGTTGAATTTGGCATTTTCAACCTTGAAACGTCTAGGGTCATTTTCAATGTTGAATTTGGCATTTTCAACCTTCAAGCTTGACTCACTAAGGCTGGTACCTGACCCTAGAGAGTTTTTGACTGGAATTTTTCATAACGTGATATCCGAGCCAAAATAAGAAGATACAAGAATAAATGGCGTTATATATGATTATTAAATAAAAGGGAAGCAAATTCCCATTTAATCATCATAAAGAGGGATGCAAGAGTTGCCAAATTTTATATCACTAGCAAAATGATTAGACGTATTTGCCCAAATCTTAAAGAAAATGACTACCATAGGGAAAAGGATTTATTATACATCCTCCATAGAGTGTCACAAAATTTAAACAGCAGCAAAATGCATAGAGTAAAAGAGGTCATTTTTTAGGAAACAGGTAGCTTCCCATAATTTATAAAAGAACAAACAAGTCAAATCCACTTGCTGACCATCAACGGAAACATTAAAAGACAATCCTAGAGGAGATAAGGTCTAACATTTTGTAGACCAACATAAGCAAGAAGTTAGAGCAAAACACTTCAGAGTTCTGCCAAATTGTGATCATCTTGATCCATTTCAAACTCATATATAGACGTGATGCAGAAAGACCAAATATGTTAAATATATGAGTAAAAATAAAAGCTAAAACAGGAACTCAAACACTGATAAGAGATGAATCAAAATCTAAGAGACACAATAGTGCATTTTACTCAAATTCAAAATCAATGAGCACGAGAGGTATAGCAGCTGGAAACCTTTTGTTGGTTGGTCTTTTGAGCAGAGCTGATTAACCATATCAAATTTTTCAACTTGTTGCAGTTCTTTCACTGAGAGGTTAGATACCCCTCCCCCAAATGTGAATTTATTTCAATTTTTTTTTCATAAACATGCTATCCAGGTATCTTCTTTTTGTATCAAACAATTTATCCAAGTAACGAAAGTTGACTGGTCATTCTTTACTCTTCCCAAATAAAGGCTTCCTTATTTTCAGATAGAACGAGCTTTCGAGTTATTTTCCAGAGTACTCACAAAAATATAAAAATTAAAAAATAAAAATAAAAAACACACAAATCAACACAGTACCTATGGGAACAGGTTTACTCTTAGAACCATATCTGCAAAGTGAACCCGACTTTTGTGAATATGTAGTGTCTTTATCATGATTGTTCACCATAAGTTTTGGTTTATGGGCCCCACATGGTTCGCCAATGTCAATAAGATAAGAATCCCACGTAAGTGTTTCACCACATTTGATAATGTCATCCTTCTTCACAAACCTGCTTTCCAAGAGCTGGTCCCATTCATCATAAAGCAAGACCTGTTGAAGACTAAAATAAATTAGAGAACATATTGAAACCACACAAGATATTTATAAGATAAACCAAACATGGTTCGTGCAAACTCTTTCTCATTGCTGAAGCTTATAAAGGAAATCAGGAACAATGTTTAATAGATGACGAGATCAAATTCTGATCTCAACAGCTATCTTCGCAAGAATATATAGCAAAACCAGTTGAGATATAACTCAACTGCAGTAGAATCAAGAATGATCTTGTAACAGTTGTCGAGCCTTTAGGTTCTTACAAAATTACAGTTACAAATGAACTTTAGATACTAATCACATAGCTATATCTAGAGATACAAAATACTTTAAAGCTAATTAGTGACATGAAGAGAAAAAAATAAACTCACCAGCTGCTTGAAATTTCTGTTTCAACAGCTAGACAACAATCTTTTTGTTCCAGTAGTCGAATTTAGCATTTCATTAACAACAAATTTAATCTCATCATCTCGAGATTATTAGCGTGTTTAGGCAATTATTCCCAACATCATCAGATTCCCCACCCGTGGGCTACATAAAACACAGAGTAAACGACATTTAACAGCTCAAAAAGAGCAGGAGCAGAGGAAAAACCTTGCGGCGAGAGGATTGGTGCTCTAGAAAACCGTCTTGATAAATTTTACGCTTCTGCTTAACGTGCTTCGTGTACATCACGTTCCACCGGCGACCGTCCTCCATAGCTGCGCCGATCTCAATTGACTGACAGTAGTTTAGAATTTCTCGGAAAGTATGGCCAGTTTGAGCTTGCGATGGAACAAGTTCCGATGGCGGGAAATGAAATTACACCCTCGCGAACAAAATTTTCACATAACCTTTTGGCTTTTGCCACTTAAGTAGTGAGTTTATTATGCTCTGTCCCCCTTTGCCTAAAATCTATTTGAAATTCAATTGCAACTTGCAAGTTTGCGCGTGAGTTTATTTATGTAATAAGGCAAACACCATTTCAATTTTAGTATCCCAATTGTAAAATCTTTTTCAATTTTGGTATTTAATATTGATGTTCGAACTTTAATCAACTAGATACCTAGAATGTATTTGTTTATAATTTTTTTAACTCATAATTAATTTATACTCAAAATCGAACTCAACTTTAACTCAACTTCACTATCGTCACTATTATCAATATAATTAAATAATATCAATTAATTATTCTTACATATCATATCAACTTTAATTCACTATTCATTCACTCACATCATATTAACTAATTATCACTTCACATCATCTCTCTCCTAGTTTTACATCAAATCAACTTTAATTATTTTATTTTAAATATTTTTTTATATATAAACTCAAAATCTCATTAACAACTACCATACAATTTTTTTCCAAAATTAACCCTAGCATTTGAACGGATATATTTGTATCCAAGCACGCCTCTATGGATGACTGGTAATGAGTTATGACTCATTCAGTTCCAATTTGGGTCATTTGAACTCATTTTGACTTAAAAAGTCTGATCAGGTTGGGTTGGTGGTGGATTAAACACAACTCAATTTAACTCTACCCACCCACCTTAGAAGGCGTGAAAAAAAAGGACAATGACACTAGGTCTTATTTGTCCTCTTTTCCAAATAAAAATATTATTAATAATAAGACGAAATTACAGATTGAGGGTGCAAGGGGCTCATTGTCCTCCTTTATAACCATGTGATTACAACTAAAAAAGGATGGAGGCCAACAAACATTGTACTCCGCCGAGACATGTCCGGCAAGAGGAAGGAGTTAATACCTCGCCACCGTCGTACGAACTCCAAGAGAGGACTGGTAGTTTTAGCGTGACCTCGCCGAAAAAAATAAATGAAAAAATAAAAGACGGCCTTCTTCAAGTTGGCAAAGTTCTCCTCCAATTTGTTGTTGTGTACTCGCGTATTTGGAAATGATGGCCTTCAAATATGAAATTCGTTTGGTCATATAAATGTTTTTTGTTATTTGTTGAAATTAGTTTTTTTGTATTTATGTTAAAATTTGGGAAATTGTTTGTTAATATGTACAACTGCTTGTGTATTATTTTATTTTTTGACTGCCTTTATTAATTGCACCTCCACCTTGTTAAAAATATGTTAATAGGATAATAATTGTGTTGCTGCAAAGGGTCTCCTTACCAATGAGTCATTTTGAATCCTCATAAATTTACACCACCAACAGACTTAATGTTAATAAATATAGATGCATCAGTAATATTTTTTGTCGAAGAAAATAGAGATTAGACAAAACTTCCACGAAAGAGCGTATATATAAGTGTTCAGGTGCTCAGGTTAGCCGTATATCCTACCAGTGAAAAAGCACTTAATTTCAAATTCATCTTCTTGCAAATCATTTAATTGGTAAGTAAATTGTGTTGTTGCAAAGGTTCTGCTTTGATTATTTGATGTCGTGTCACTAGTTTATTTTCAAGATTTTAGATGGGAGACAATTCTATTGAAACTGTTCTTGGTAAAAAGTCGGGAGATGCAAACTAGCCCGTTGAATATGAACGTACATTGTTACTTTAATATTGGAGGAGGTGTTAAAAGGGAACTGTGTGTCCGCGATGTTTCGGACCTACCATCAGACGTTTATGCAAGCGCAATTAAAAGAGCGTTTTCTAGGGTACCCAGTTTATGAGTCAATCAATTGCTAAGAAAGATGCACCGTTTTAAAGCTAAATGGAGATGGTTTCACGACATGTTGCTTGCCAAAACCGGATTAGGTTGGGATAGTGTATGCAATATGATAATAGGAGGGGAAATGTGTGGCGTCGCTGGATTCAGGTATTAAATTTTTTTGGGTTGATATGCAAACACATGTGCCTTTTGAAGTTGAGAATCATTTGTACAAGTTTAATTCAAGTCGTACATATAATTTATGTTGTATTAATTTTGTTTGTGTCAAAATAGGTGTTGACCACCGACTTGGTAATTCGAATATAATTCCAAGTAAAGACGGGTTACAAATAATGTAACCGAAATGCCTACGGTTTAAGATAAGATAGAGATGAAGCGCATCGGATGACTTCAGAAACTCTTCTCCTTTGTAAACGGCACGTGACCTCGGAATTACGCTTCACCTCGGAGTTACACCTTCCCACCGACGTGACGAACTGACAGAACCCACTTCTCAAGCTCTCACCGACATCACACTACTACCGACCTGCTACGATTTCCCGGCATGACCGACTTCTCGAAATATTACCATGCCTACCAACACCACCACCCACCTTGGAGGTAACCGAGTTCATCAATACCCAAGCAGGTGACCAGGCGCCTACGCAACCTCCTTACATTTCGTGTCCAACGTCATGATGATCGTGGGCCCAACTGACCCAACCGCCCATTTAAAGCTACTTTTCAAACAAAACCCGAATGATGGGGGGATCTCGAACAATGTGTACTTAAAAAGTTACTATATATAGTTTAAGGTCTCCTGGATGAAGGGGGACGACACTGTGTACAACTCCCACATCAGTCAAGAACACACCGACTATCTACTGATCAATAAAATTTCCCATTATCAATATTCACAGCGTTAATCCATGTCATAAATCTGTTATTTACGTTGTTACGAATCCATATGACAACAATAGGCTCACTCAAGTGATGAAGGAATGAAACAAAAAAAATGCATGTTTTACGAGGACCTGACTACGATATTATCTGGAACAACCGCTATGGGTGGTGGGACTAGGGAATCCACACAATGAACCAATGTGCGAGGGACACACGTTGAAGAATTGAAGGATGTTGATGCACTTGAAGACCCCATGAACAACCCTGGTTCAGTATGACGTAAAAACCATCATCACAAATCGACTGAGCCTGAGGTTTTATCAGAGGCGGTGCAGCTTAAGTTATAGAATAGACAAATTTTCTGTCATTTGCAGAGTTGAGTAGACATTCAAAAGGAAAAGTTGATTCCCTCGAGCCGTCTTCCCTTCGTGAGGTGATCATCCAGCTTGACGCAATTTCGGATTTCCCCGACAAGGTGTTCTTTGTTGCAACAACAAAGTTTGAAAATCCAGCTTATCATCAGATGATTTTGTTCATGAAAGGCGTTAAAGAGTGCTTGGTTTTTAGGTCCAACAAAGCGAGATGTGACCTTGTCGATGTGTCTTCCAGTTGTCCCATGCTTCAAAATTCAGTCATGGACGCATTAGTTTGGGTGTCTAAAAGCAATTCCTTCTATTTTCTCTAAACTCTTACTCTGAACAATTTGAACTTTGTGTGTTTTTTGCTTGATTGTGGTTTGTGTCATTGTTGGACAAAGCTGTCTGATTCTCGTATGAATATATTATTTTTAATGATTTGCGTATAATTACTCCATTGTTCGTAAGGCATTACATATTTTGAAAATCATATTGTTGTATGGGATTGCCGACGATCAAATTTTACAAAAATTCTGTAGGATGTCGAGCGGCAAATAGAATATTGATGATTTAATTGAAGACGCTCCAGATGACGTAATTGACAATTCATTAGATAACTATCATATGATGCTTGCAAACGCAAGTCATATCACTGGGAGGAAATTCGTACATTTATTGGACATATACTCAAAGGTGCAAAGATCACTTGTAAATGAAGCTCGCATGCCGTTTCGAAATTCTCAATATACAGGTTTGGACCGGATAAATGAATTGCTAGACGGACACCCACAACGGTTTTACGATGCCATGGGTATGGAGAGGGTTGTGTTCCGAAGACTTTGCAGAAAAATATGTGAAATGGTATGTACGGTGAGAATTGACATTCATCATATTTTCATGCATTATGAGTGATATATTGTGATATTTGGCCATGGTTATCGTGTGATTATGCACCATTTTGTTTTGATTTATTAATCTATGATACAGGTATTTTTGTCATTGATTTTGCATGAAATATACCCGGAAAAGCGTTGGAAATGGAATCGGGACGAAAAATGGCGAAAACGGGTGCAGAAGAGGACACACGACTCGTGTGGCTAGTGACACGGGTCGTGTGAGTTGAGAAAATAACAGAAGCAGCTGCGGCTTTTTCACACGGGTCGTGTGGGCTGAGACACGGGTCGTGTGGCCTCACACGACTCGTGTGACCCGGTCGTGTGGGTGATCGTGTGAGTCTGGAAGTTCGCCGAAATGTTGAGAAAAGTCATACGACTCGTGTGGCATGTGACACGACTCGTGTGGCATGTGACACGACTCGTGTGACGCACAGACCAGATCAGCGGAGAATAGGATTCTTATGCGATTTCTTCCTTTTTTCGGCCTAGAATTGCCCTACAGTATAAAACAGACCTTAGAAACTCGTTTTTGGGACTTTTGACACCATTGGAGGCCTAGAGAAAGCACGAAACACACGAGGGATTCGAGGAAGTCAAGATTGAAGATTCGGGAACTGACGGCGACAATAGTTCTTCTTTCTTTTCTCTTTTTCTTCTTCATTGAACTCATGGATTTATTTATTTTGAGTTTTGAGAATATGTTTAGCTAAACCTTTTAGGGATTCTAGGATTTGCGAGTACTCGGATTATTTTATGAAGTGATTTTATTTATTCATTTCGGTTTATCATTCGTTTATCAATTTCTTGTGCTTTTATTAATTGTGTGAATATAGGGTCCGTATTTATGCATATTTGTGATTGACTTGAGACCGAGATGAGATAGTTGATTGCTAGAATTGGGAAATTCATAACGTAAGAGACTAAACAGACCGAGAGGTTGATAGAATCTTGCGAGGGAACTAGAATCTTAGGAGCTTATGGGAGTTGATTGTTCATCTTGAGACCGAGAGGAGATAGATAACAATTAATATCTACGATTTAACTTGTTCGAGAGAAAGGTGTAAATTACTTTAGCGATTATCCCTACGAATGGTAGAATTAAATAAGGTTTGAATGAATAATTAATCTTTGCTAGAATAATTTCGAGGAAAGCATAACCTAGAATCTATTTTCTCATTCTTGATTTATCTTAGAACAAGCCTTCATTAATGTTAGAATTTATTTTGCAATCATTTAGTAGCTAGAATTAGAATAAAATCACCATTTGAATTTGAGTTAGTCTGAATAATATTTATTTGTCAATATTTTGGTACTTGATTATTTTAACAACAATCTCTGTGGAGTACGACCTTGCTCGCCACTCACTATAGCTATACCGTACACTTGCGGGTAGTGAAAATATTTTGCGAACAAGAATTATCTAACAAAATGTCACCCTTAAAGAAAGAATTGCATATTAGTTCATACAATCAAAAGGAATCAACGACATCGTCGTGCAGTTGAGGTTTTTCAAAGGTCTAAGGACACTATTAGTTGGCATTGTGAAATAGTCATTGATGCATTGTGTCACATGGCCGCCAATTACATAAGTTCACCGAACTTCAAAAGTGGCTATTTGGATATGTAATATTCGAACTTATATCCTTACTTTAAGGTGGGACATTTTGAAAATAAAACAAAAAGGATTTGTCCACATATCAATTTTGGTGAAAAAATAGACCGTCTTTCATATTTTGCTTTAAACTAAAATTTTCTTTTCTTAATTCTCTTTTTAAGGACTACATTGGCGCAAACCTGCGAAGAAACACAGAGTGTACAGATGTTGAAATTGGTACCTAGCTAAAAATGTGATTGTTGCTTGTGATTTTGATCTCAATTTCACTTTTGTATAGGGCGGTTGGGAAGGAAGTGCCAACGACGTGCGTGTTTTTTCATCGACACTCTCGGATCCCCGTAACCATTTCCCTTGGCCTCCAATAGGTACCTATAATAATAATAATAATAATAATAATAATAATAATAATAATAATAATAATAATAATAACTAGATTGAGGTCAATAAAGAAAATGATAAGAGAAAAAAAACCAAATAATCGAGGTAATGCAAATTTAGAAAATATCATTATGTTTGTCTGAATTGTTTACTTAGGATTAACCTTTTGTACGCAGGTAAATATTACGTGGTTCATTCTGGGTATGTAAATATAACGGGTTTTTGAGTCCATATTGAGGAAAACGGTACCATATTCCTGAGTGGATCGGTATGAATCGAGATCTTACCAATGCCTGGGAGCTCTACAGTAAGCGGCACGCTATTGTTCATAATGTTATAGAACGTTGCTTTTGATTGTCAAAAAAATTGTTCCCTATATTGAAGGGTCTAATATCGAACTACAAATTGGAGAGACACGTTAATATTTTAATTCTGTGTTGCGTGGCACACAATTTCATCAAGCGGTGGGGACAGATTGAACAATCGTTGACGTTCAATGATCCGGATTGGCAGCCCAATCATGGTTCAGATGATCAAACGACACCTTTCATCAATACAACGGATACCACTCTAACCGGATTGTCGGAACAGTATGCTTTAATGAATTCTATAGCTACGACATTACAGGAAAATAGGTAGTGATGAAGGAACATGTTGAACAATGTTCGTTTTCTATGTTTGTAATATTCGTATCATATATGTAGGCCAATTTATAAGAACATGTCTGAGTGTTTTATCGGTGAAATAAAATCCCTGTTTACTAATTCGATATTAATTTACTGTAATCTAAAATTTAAGGAAAATATAATTTGTACATTTATTCTTGCAAGATTAATACAAAATATTAATTAAATTGCCGATATACACCGAACAAAAATAATATGATGTTATCCATCATCAACACAATTTCACACGATTGAAAACCAAAAACACAATTATTAAAAAAAATGGTCAATAGTAGAGGGAAAACTACAAATATAAATTTCACCCCAACTCATTTTTGGGGAAACAAAAAAGGAAGGATGTGAAGGTTACAAGACTAGTCCATGCGATTGTCACATTAACCTTACCCCATGAAGATATGTTGCAGATTTTATCCTTTAGGTAAAACCGCATACAAGCCAAAAAATAGGTCAAACTAACTTTAGGTAAACGAAAAAAATGCACTACCTTTATCTTACTTCTATGCATGACTTGAACACGCTGGACAATGCTTTCATTTTTACACCTGGATGTGAACATACAACACCGAATTTATAGTAGCAATAGCAAGGTTTTGAAAATCGGATCGGTCATCGAACCGGTCAAGCTATTGGTTCAATGATCACTAGTCCAAGTGATTGAACCGGTTGGACCGTACTTTAATTTATTAATATTTCTAAATATATTATATTTATAAAAAACTTAATTTTTAAATATTAGTCCGACCAGTCTTTGGTTTGATCTATGGGTAAAAATTGGGATAATTACAAAAAGTAATAATTATAGTACTAATGAGCCATTTATATCATTATAATCAAAATTTATAGTCGTAGATAACATCATAAATGCATGGCTTACCTAAATTAATGCAGTAAACTAATAGGACAAAAATAAGGAAACATAAAATTTCTACATGTGGCTTACCTAAATTTATGCAAAGGAAAAAAATAGTGCACGACACTCCATGCGCGGCTCAGCAACTGAAAGGCTTGCTACCTGCTTTTGCTTGTCCCACATCGGTTAAAGAAATAAATGATGTGCTTTACAAATGTGTCAAAATTAATACCTCGTCCAAAAGGAAAAACAAAGCGGTCGAGTTGACCGGTTGATTCAACCAGTTAATCCCAATTTTGACCGGCTCAACCGGTTATTGATTGGCTCACATGCAATCGGTCCATTTCAACAAACCGAACCAAAGTATTGTCATGTTTCCCAATTTAACCAGTCAAACCGGCTAGTCCGATCTGGTTTTCAGAACATTGATAAATAGTTGGACAATGTCTTCATTTTATTTTGAAAATTTTGTGATCAGTAGCCTACCCTAAATACGATGAATACAAAATTCCTTTATGTTGTTGTGCTGCGGAACCAATGCATTGTTTTATGGCGCGAACAAAAAGAAATTACGAAAAATATTTTTACCGGTGTCCGGCGGGAATCGAACACGCAAATTTTTTTGTGTGGGAAGATGATGCTCACATTCCCGATTTCCCAACGCAATTGATGCAAATAACTACCCTTTTCCCTTCGTCTCTGATCTCGTCACATGATAAGCTCCGAACCCTAGCTGATACTGGTCTCGTGTTTCCCGTCGATGCCCACCCCTGGCTCCGGGCAGGTGGTCAACAAACGATTCTGGGCGTCGTGCCTCAGGCCGACTTGCCTTGTGCACGCTTGCCAGGTGGTCTTCTTGCATGCGTGCGGCCTTTGTGGCTGCGCGCATCATTTTTGGCCTATCAGCTGCCAAGTCGGGCTTTAGACCCCCCAACAAATGCGCCGACTAGTGCCTCTTTTGGCCAATCGCGGACTCAACTCGCGATTCATTCCAGATTTTTCTGATAGTCACGCAAGTTACAAATTTGCCTAATGTGCGATAAAGCTTCATCGTAATCGTGGTAGTCTGACGTTCCAAATTGCGTAACTAACTCCTTTTCAAAAAAAAATTCACTCGAAATCGGATGTCCTTCTTTTTGTAAACCAATGATATCTATTGCCACCACACGTTCACCTCCCTATTGAGATAGTAGGCAGCAAATTTAATCCTCTCTGACTTTGGTATCTCTTTGACTTCGAAATACTGATTAGCACGACTTAACCACGAGTTTGGGTCCGTTCCGATAAACGTTTGTAGAATCAACTTTGGTCCTTCGCTCAGGTGCCTTTCCCAAAGGTTCGAAACCCTTGAACGTTTATCATCATCTTTCGCAAATTCATTATGAAATCCGGCCTCCTTTTCCAAATCAGGTGATCCGTCCGATGACCAATCAGAGTCATCGCCTCTCCTCGCTCGGCGGCCGGCGGTATGGAGCAGCATCCACTCGATCATAGCCACCAATTGATTTGAGTGTATGTCTTTGTTGATTGAACGCACACTATCTTCCAATCGATCGATTCTCTCCCTATTCGACACAATGATGCACGATCAACTCTCCAACAAGAGCACCAATGATGAAGATCATGTATCGACTATTCGAATTGTGAAAACCCACACTAGAGGGCCGTCGGTTAACTTACGAATTTGGGTACTCAAACGAGCGGTTTTTTATTGCTTCTTTGATAATCCATCCAAATGAAGAATGCAAGAGTTTTAAAGAGAACAAGATACAGAAATTCCTACTAAGGCCCTAAGAATCGTAAAATAACTAAACTAAGCAAAAAAAAAATAATAATAATAAATAGAAGAGTTGCAGTATGATCCTCAATCCTCGCCAGACTGTTATTGGCGACGGTCCGCTCATCGATGGCGCGACGGCATCGCCAGGCGCGACACTCTGCGCACCCCAACCTTTGTCCACTCGCGACGAGTGTTGTGATGCAAATGGGCTTCGTGACGGGGTCGACACTGTTGCACGTGATGGTGCAATGGCATGTGCCCCTGTGCGTTGCTCTTGTGTCCCTGTGCGCTGCTCGGTAGCTCGTCTCCCACGTATGCTTGTGCCTGACTCTTTCATGCACGCACGACGAGCTCGATTGTTAACGTTTTTGAGTATCCGTGATTCATCCGCATCTTTGACTCTCATCTTCCAGCTTCTGTGTCTTGCATTCCTAATTAGTTAAATATGGTTTAATTACATTGAATCGACAATTCTTCCAAAATTAAAGCCGAAATCCAAAATATACTGTTGCCTATCTTGAAATTAACTGAACAAAATATCTTAAAGCCCAAATTGTCCAAGAGGCCCAAACACGAAAGCCCGATGTCCGGCCCGTTGATAACAGATCGAAGGCGTTGACTAATGGCTCGGATATCTAACCCATCTCGACTGTTTTCTTTTTTCTCCTCTCTTCCACTCTCCGGTCCTCCACTCCACAGTTCACTTCCACCTAAATTCACGTCTTCTCCACAAAGCCTCTTTCTTCCACCGAGCGATTAAAGCTCGAAAAGCGCTCACTGCACTCGACGTAACCGTACAGTGGGTCATTCCCCCTTCGTTAACTATACCGTTAGTCTGGCTCTGCCATTGTTTTTTCTTTCTTAAAAAAATGCTTTCTTCTCCGATTTACCTGACGAAAGTCGCTTAAACCCCCATTTCAAGAAATACAAAATCTTGAGCCGAGATCTCCGTAAAAATAAAATATAACATGAAATAATTACAAAAATAATTTCTTTAACCTCGGCAAATCCATCTCTTTCTTGAATCCACACGTTGAATCCTTGCAGATAAATCCTGATTAAAAAAAAAGAAAAAAAAAGAAGAAAAAATGGATCAAGATGAAAAAACCCCACTTCAAGAAGAGCATTGCCAGAGGGGAAAAGCCCCTAAGAACGGGATTTTTTGCCTGATTTTGAGCCCTTTTAATTTCTTGAAGAAGCTGAGCAACGAGCTCCACTGGAGCTTCGTGTCGGCAGTTGTGGTGGTGTACGGAATCAATCAGGGGATTGGTTTGGGGCTGAGCAAAGTGAGCACGCAGTATTACATGAAAGACGAGCAGAAATTGCAGCCTTCTGAGGCACAGGTTTACCATGGAATAATCATGATGCCTTGGATGGTGAAACCCTTGTGGGGCCTACTCACTGATACAGTCCCAGTTGGCGGCCGCCGCAGGAGGCCGTACTTCATCTTTGCTGGTAAAAATGCTCGATCACATACCAGTGTGTGTGTGTGTGTGTGTCTAGGCAGCTAATTGTTCGATTCATTTGATTTTGTTGAACATTGTTGCTTGCTTTAAGATGGATGTAATAATGGGCACACTGTTTTCACAACTTGTTTGTAGGTTACATGGTTTGTGGTTTTGCAATTTATTTTATTTTATCACAAGAAAACTGAAATGTACATGGTGTGACTAAATATTTTGTGAGAAGGGGTGTGCCAGGTGAAGGGAGATTGAGCATTTTTTTGATTTTGTTGTAGAACGTAATAGAAAGGCACCATTTTGATGAATAGTCAGTCTAAATGTATTCTGCCACATGGGTAATTTTAGCCACAATCATCAATAAACACGACTCACAAAGGACTGTAGACATGTTTTTGAACTTCTTACATGCTTGGCCATGTTTAGAACACTGTTTCTAGGTTTCTTTCACATATAATTTGCAACTGAAAGCATATAGTTTTTCTTGAGCTTCTTATTAGTGTATGCATTCTTATTAGTTTTTCTTGGTCATATTAACCAATAGCCCTTTAGTAACCCTGTTATGTGACCTACTTCTGTAAGAGTTGCATCCTTTTCTAGATTTTATTTCAGAAAATGTAGTTATGTTGGACAAATTTCAAGTTCATGTAAAAATTAATAATTTCAGCTTTCTAGGGGTTATTATCCTCTGGGAGCACAAAAAAAGCATTTAAATATTAAAAAATCATGAATAGCTCCCCCACTACACGTGGGAAGGAAAATTCGAAATTCTTAAAAAGATTCATTTTCTTTGAAGAACACCATTTTGGTGTGTCGAATGTTTGTGGAATATGTATATACCCATATTATACATGCTTAAGCTAGATTTTTAAGGCACTAACTTTACGAAACAGTAATTCCGTGCTTCAGATGGTTAATAGAAGGTCTTGAAGTGACAGCATTCAAAATCATCATAATAGCTACTAAACAATTAAAAAACTCATTTTTTCGAGCGACACTTCTTTTGATTTGCAGGCATGATAGGTGCTATATCCATGATAACTCTATCACTTAAAAGCAACTTGTACCTCGGGTTTGCTTTGTTGCTCTTAATATGTGGGAGTGCTGGGGCTGCCATAGGAGACGTGACTATCGATGCCTGTGTAACTGAGAACAGCATAATCCATCCTTCTCTTGCTGGTGAGATGCAGAGTTTGTGTGGTTTATGCTCGTCTGTCGGCCAATTAGTTGGATACATGCTTAGCGGATTTTTGGTTCATCTGATTGGATCCAAGGTTTTCCTAATTTATTGTAACTTGCTTGTTTAATATCTCTACATTGCTTTTTATGAGGCCTCAACGAAAAGCGTGTTAAATGTTAAAAGTGACTTGTAACTAAAAGTAATAGGAAAAATTTTAACTAATTAAACTATTATACAGATACTGCCAAGCTTCAGTTAAAAATATTTAGCTTTTACGCGTAAATAGTTCTAGCTGAAAAGTGTGCGTATGTGTGTGTGTGTTTTAATGTAATGTTAATTCAGTCATAATAGCACAAACTTTAGGCAATTGATTCTCATATGTTGGTTTGAAAAGTAATTTTTTGCTGTCTTCTGCCGACTTATGCTTCTGTTTCCGCAAAATTTAATCCGAATCCAAAAAAATAAGGGAGTCAATATCTGGTTTGGCTTTCAAATACTGAGTAGGACCTTTTTTTAACTATTTTTAACCCTTCATTTCGATTTTGAATGACAATCAGGTAAGAATAATTGGCTTATCCATAATCAATCATGGTTTTTTTTGCAGGGTGCTCTCGGGGTCCTTAGTATTCCAGCTGCATTAGTGATTTTGGTGGGGTTGTTTATACAAGAGCCCTTAATCCGAAATTTTAATTACAAGAGAGTAAGAAAATATTTTAACTTGATTCATTTTGGGTCTTTTATGCTCCCCATTGAGCCGACTTAGGAAATCTTTTTATTAATATTCCCGTTTTTCTTAACAGGTTAGTTATAAATTTGTCGATGCTGGTCGGTCTATGTGGGCTGCTCTCAAATGTACGGTTGTTTGGAGGCCGTGTTTGTACATGTACCTGTCCCTTGCCGTTAGTCTGCACATACATGAGGGCATGTTTTATTGGTATACGGATGCAAATGATGGGCCTGTTTTTTCCCAGGTATTCACTCTCTAAGTTTTTTACTATTTAAATATATTGGATATCTATCAATTAGTTTAGACATTTGCATGTTCTTCAATTATCTAAATATGTACTTAGTGACGTTTTTATATAAATTAATCACTTAAATACTATATAGTATTAAAAAATATCGTTAAAATTAAAATCTGGTCCAATCACGGTCCCATTTAGTGAACTATTTAAAAATATCACGGACCCGAAAAGAATTTTTAATTCTAAAAGATAACTCGACATTTTCATACTTTCAAAAGTCGTACTTGTGATGGTCCCATTCTACATCATACATCCCAAGTTCATGCAAATGCTAAGGTTGTGTTTGGTTTTATCAGGAAAAAATAAAATAAAATTGCAAGCTCATTTTTTTTTACCTTTTTTCCCCCTTTGTTTCTCAACATTCAAATACACTCTAAACCCATTCCCACTTTTCCAACCGCCTAT